ACTAAAGCTGACTGAAACATTTACTATATGTCTTCTGAAAGAGATCACAATGCTACTAAACCAGGATGAAAAGTTTTTCTCTTTCCCCAACTTCTTCACATAAACAAACTAACAGGATTAACCCCTGCAAACCTTACTCTCCTTCAGGTTTATTTCAGGACCTAGGAAGATCACCACCACCTCCAGAGCAGGTGGAGGACCAGGTCCTGCAGTGGAAAAGGAGAAACCCTACATGCTGTGATCTCAAAGGTGGTTTCCTTGGGGGGTGGTTACAGCAGCATGGGTGGAGAGAAAGAAAGGCTGCTGGAGGGGTGGTACAGGAGTGGGGTTGGGCTGGTGGGGGCTGACAGGGTGGAAGGGTTGGTTAGGACAGTGATGCTGGAAGTGATGGAGATGATGATGCTTAGGGTTTAGATAGAGAGAGAGCACAGGTGCTGAAATGGGGGTGGATGGTGAGGCTGGAGGACTGGGAGAGATGGCTGGGATGATGGTGGTGGTGGTGGCTTGGCTGGGGATGGAAGGAGGTGGGGATGGAAAAAGGTGCAGTGCGGGACTGGTGGGGAGAGCGGGGAGTGGTAGGAATGCTGGAGGGACAGAGATGCTGGTGGAACAGGGATGCTGGTGGAACAGGGATGCTGGAGGAACAGGGATGCTGGAGGAACAGGGATGCTGGAGGAACAGGGATGCTGGAGGAACAGGGATGCTGGCGGGCGCGGCGCTGCCGGTCCCGGCGCGACTCACCGACGCTGGCCTCCCCGATGGTGTAGGTCTTGCCGGAGCCCGTCTGCCCGTAGGCGAAGACGGTGGCGTTGAAGCCGCGGAAGAAGGCGCGCAGCAGCGGCTGGACGCAGGCCCGGTACACGGCCGCCTGCCCCGCCGCCTCGGGCAGCACGGCGGCGAAGCGGAACCGGCGGCGGCCCAGCGACACCTCGCCGGTGGCGGCATCGCCCCGCAGGCAGGGCCGGTGCCCCCGCAGCGCCTCCCGGGGCAGCAGCGGCCGCACCCGCACCGCCACCCGCACCGCGGCCCCCTCCGCCGCCATGGCCGCGCCGGGCGCCCCGCGATGGCGTCAAAAGCTCCGCCCGGGCAGGGGAAGGAGGGAGGAAGGGAGGGAGAAAGGGAAGGGAGGATGCGGCGGGGTCGGGCGGCCGCTCCTCGCCAAGCCCCGAGCAGCGCCCGGGAGAGAGCGGCCGGGGGGGAACGGGGGATGCGGGAGGGCTGCGGGGGCTGTGCGGCGGGTCCAGGCAAGCGGTGGGTGCTCCTGACGAACTCTGTCGCTCCAGAGATGCTCCATCACTCGGGAGATGTTCCATCATTCGTAGGATGCTCCACCACTCACAAGGGACTCCATCCCTCGTGCGGTGCTTCATCACGTGTGGGACAATGCTCCGTCAGTCGTGAAATGCTCCATCTCTCGTGAAACAATGTTCCCCAATCCCGTGAGGTGCTGGAGAGTCACTTACAAGGGGCTCCATCTCTCATGAGATGCTCCGTCCCTGACGAGACTCCCCAGCACGTGTCAGACACTCCTCCACTCCTCGCGGGCATTCCCACGGTCGCCACGGGGAAGGGACAAGGGGCTACATGGCGCTGCCAAGGGGCAAAGTGCTCGAGGTGCAGGCGTGGGCACCCCCTGGGATGCAGTTTGCAGAGCAGCTGGTGCAGACAGCCGGAGCTTCCCGGCCGCCTGCTGCGCTCGGGGCTGGCACGGCCGGCTCCAGGCACTGACGTATGTTCAGGACAGTCTGAGCGATGACAAAGTTTTTCATCCGGCTGCCTGCAGTTCCCTCTGCACCGCCCCTGCGGCTGCGGGGAGGGGTATGGTCCTCGCGGGTCCCCTGGGTGCCGTGGGAAGCACTGGACTGTCGGCTGTGCCGAGAGGAATTGTACACACGCTGCTGGGACTGCTGGAGAGCCACGGCCACGCTCGGAATGGGGCTCCGGCTGCCTCTGCGCCGGAGCACCAGCTTCACCCCCGACCACCCTGCCCTCATGGAGGTGCCTGGCCCCACTGCCCTGAAGATGGAAGCAAATGTCCTTGTTATGGGAGCGGACAATGTGGGGAAATCAGGTGAGCTGGGAGCATGGGGTTCCCAGGCTGCAAACTGCAGCAGTGTTTGGAGAACCAGCTGCAGGGAGCAGCCTGTGGAGCAAACTGGTGAGATGGGGCTGAGCCCTTGTGATTTGAGCTGGGGAAGGTGAGCACAACCTTGTAGTCATCGGGTGAGGGACGAGGGAAGGTATTTTCCACTGAGCTGCAGTTCGCTGATGCGGTGGGGTCATGCTGTGCCTCTGCTCCGCTCGCAGACTGCTGGTGGCCAGGGGAAAAACAGAAGTCGTTCATGCTGTTGGGAGTTTACAAGGGAATAGTGCCTGACTCTGCTCTGAATCTAGAAAGGAGAATTCTTCTGGTTTAGGGTTATTCTGGTGATTCTTATCTTTCCCTCTGCAGCTCTGACTGTGCGTTTCCTGACCCGGCGCTTTATCGGGGAGTACGGAGACATGGGTGAGTGCCAGGCCAGGTTCCCATCAGGGACTGGGGTCAGGAGGCAGCCCTGCTTCTGCCCACAGGATTTCCTTCCTGCCCATCCTCTCCTGCCTTTCTCCAGAGCCTTTGCCTTCTCCCAGAGGCTCAGTGGTTGTATTTATTCGCTGAACCATCTCTTTGCTCCAGAACTGATTCTCTGGGGTGCAAAAGGTCCTGGGTAGCAGCTGGTGATACCATGAGGATAACTTTTTTTTTTTGGGGGGGGGGCAGAATTCATCTACAGCCACAACGTGACGGTGGATGGCCGAGAAATTCTCTTCCACATCTGGGATGCCCCCAGTTCTCAGGTGAGAGGACTCCACTCCTGTCACCCATTTCCACCCCAGGGACAAAAAATGGTTTATTGAAAGTTACCTGTGGGAAACCACAGGCTGGGAGCTCTAGCTGAGCAAAGCTCACACATCAGAGGTGACCAAACCCTTCTCACCTGCCGAGCATGGGGCAGCAGCATTGCTGGCAGGGTAGCAACAGTCACTGTAGCCCATAGTCCTGTGACTGAGGACACTGGAGCTGAAGCACTAATACTGCCAGCCCAGAGTGAGGACAGGACTGTGCTAGACAAATGGAAATGCTGCTTTGAGGTCCCTATGCTGTTTTCACCTACAGCCTGCAGTGCTTGGCAGCTGGGTGAGGAGGTGAGGACAGTGATGCTGAAGGCCAAATTGTCCCCCTTGGTGAGGTCTGCCAGGTGCTGCTCTGCCTTTCTCAGTACTCCTCTTTCTCTCTCCCCTTTTGCTGTTTGTTAGGCTTAGGATTGCTGCACCCTCTTCTAGCAGGTAGGTGTGGAGGAAGGGAGCAGGATAAAAATGCCCTCCCTTTTCTCTTTCCCCAGGAGCAGACAGAGGATGGCTCCTCAGAGGAGAAGCGAATCCAGTGGGCAGACAGCTTTGTCCTGGTCTACAGTATCTGTGACCGTGCCAGTTTCAACATCCTGCCCCTTAAAATCCAGGTCATCAAGGCAGCCAAGGAGGGGCAGAGCCAGGAGAAGGTGCCCATCGTCATTGTGGGCAACAAACGGGACCTGCACCACCAGCGGGTGGTGTCCAGCGAGGAGGGTCGGCTCCTTGCCCTCTCTTTAGACTGTGGTTTCTATGAGGTCTCTGCAGCTGAGGCTTATCATGGGGCCCTCATGGTCTTCCATGGACTGGCCAAGCGCATCCCAGACACCAAACTGGCACTGAAAAAGGGTACAGGGATCCGTGGTATTGTCAAGACCATGTCGGCTGTGTTTACCCGCAAACGAACGGACTCCCTCTGAGCTACAGCGTGGATGTTGCTGCTCTCTGTGCTGCCCAGCTGGGCCAGGCCTCCTCCCTGGGTGCCCATGAGGTGGTGTGAGTCTTTCCATAAGTATGATGGGTTCCTTGCTGTCCTCCTGATGTCAGGGTCTGGATGTCCTGCCATACACAGCCAATGCAGTCAAGGACTGAATGCATTACTCTTGGCTCTGTGACGGGACAGAATCTCTGCTCTCTGCTGTACCAGCTTTTTAGGTGCCTCCTGCTTATTCCTTCTATCCCTCAACACTGGAAACCACTGGGCAATTCTGCCACAGCTCCAGGCAGCAGCATCCCCAGCTCCTGCAGCAGGAGTTGCCCAGGCTGTCGATGCGCAGGGGTGACATGCTGCTTCTGTACAGCACCCTAGTCCTTGTCTCTCCACTCCTACCCTGGGATCCTTATTCCTGTTTAACGCTTGCCAGGATCCTCTCCAGTAACCCTGGAGCACTGGTGAGCTGGCAAGGTGGGGGTTTCTCCATCGGGAGGCACTGGCAGTTCCCATGTGTGTCTCACTGTGCCAGCATTTCCCAGAGCCCACGGCTCCAGCTGACCCTGGAGGTCCTCGGTGAGGGCTGATGCCTCCCATCCCAACTTCCTTGCTTTTGAACCATCCTCTCTCCCACAGCCTCTCAGTGATCACAGCCCTTTCCCTTGTGCGAGTGAGCGCTCAACAGGCTGTGCCTGGGAAAAAACAGGCACTGGGCTTGTTCCCAGGATGGGGATGGTACCACAGGCCTTCCCAAGCCACTCCTTCTGTAAGGCTGCCTCTCCCTGGGGAGGAAAGGAGGTGGGAAAGGGGGTGTCTGGGCTCGTCGCCGAACCCTTCTGCTGCTGGGAGGTTTTTCCTGCCTCTCTCCAAACCCTTCCCCTCGTGCCCTGGGAAAACTGTGTTGGAAGAGGGTTTGTGTGTGCTGTATGGACACTTGATTTCTCTGCTGTGTTCTTCTGGAAATGCAATAAATTGTCTTTGGCAGGAAGCCCTGGCTCCTTGGAGCTGTGAATTCATACTTGGGGCATGGGAAGAGGCACGTACCGTGCTGGGCATGAGCACCCACTGTCCCTGTGGCAGCTACCCGAGGGTGTTTCCCGCACCCACTCCCTTGGCACTGGTTACCTTGTTTGGTGTCCCACTCTGTTACCTTGTTTGGTGTCTCACTCCCATAAAGCAGCCAAGCAGCAGGTAGGAAGGTTTATTATTGCAGTGAATACAAGGCATTGTTGGAAGCCAGGTGATCCTGTGGAAGAGGGGCTCCAGGAGCTCCACCTGTTTTCATCAGTCATTTTCCTGACCCCACCATCTATCCCACCACCAGCTGGGAGGGAGATGCCCTGGGCTTTCCTACTCATGAATCCTGCTGGTCAGTGGGAATCTTCAGCCCCTCCATGGAGGAGCAATCTGTGGCCAGGGATGGGCCCTGCAAGGGGAGATGGAGGGAGGAAGGAGGGGGAACCAGGCTTACTATGGTGATGTTTGACGGCTTTGCTGTCCTCCCTGCTCTCTCAGTGTGAAGCCCATATAAGTGGGCTATCTGCTCAGCAGGGACCAGAGTAACCTAGTGCTAGCCCTGGCTGGTCCCTTTTCCTCTTTTCTGGTCTCACCACTCTTTCCACACCTCCTTGACATCACTGCTCCCCTCTGGTCCCACCTCCCCCTACTTTCTCCTTCCAGCAGCAGGGCTTTTATCTGCCTTTATTACCTCACCCTGAACTTGATGCACTCTGGAATAAGACATCCTAGGGCCTGTCTACCACTTAAAGCTCCTGTCCTGGCACAGGGGTGCGTGTGGGCAGCTGGCAGGGGCCTGGGCAAAGCGTGCTGTGGGGGGATTAGAAGGAGGGTGGGATGTGCTTGTCCTCCCCACTAGCTCAGTCTTTCTTGAGGACAGGAGTGTAGAGGTTGCCATAGTAAGCCCGGCTGTACATGGGCTCAGGGCTGAAGCGGTAGGAGCCCTCACTCACCCGCCTGTTGTAGGGGGAGAAGGCGGATTTCCGCAGGAAGGGGTACTCGGGCTCAAAGGCAGGGCTGCGGTAGTAGTTGTGCCGCAGGAAGAGGGGGTCCTCGAGCCCCAGGAAGGAGAGGGGGTGATGGCCACGGTACCGCCAGTCACCTCTCAGCTGGGATTTCTCCTCAGCGGAGGGGGCAGCAGCCTTGGTGTCCTCCTTCTCTTCCTTCTTCTCTGTCTTCTCCGGGTCAGACTTGCTGCCCTTGGGTGCCTCTGCTTCCTTCACTGACTGCCTGCGGAGCTGAGAGATGGGGTGAGGACCCAGCCAGGCTGTACCCACCTGCCAGCCCTGCCCTACCTGTGCTACACAGCCCCCCATCCCAAACTGGGAGAACCTCAGGATAAGCCAGTTTGCCCCCAGAGGGGCAACCCCTGAGCAGTTGTGGTGGAGAAATGATCCCAGGGGAACAACAGGGTGGGGTAAAGAAGAGGGGACATAGTCTCAACCTGACCTTGCACCTTCCCAGAAGTGTATGGTCGCACCCTGGCTTGGAAATGAACTGAAGGTGCCACCACTGTCCAACCTATTGTTTCTATTCGGGAACTACTGTCACAGCTTGGGGGATGCTTCAGGAGGAGGGTCGGACTGAGGTGTCCTCACAGCACCCCATCTCCCCACTCTGGTACCTCCTGACATTGCCTGGAGCTATGAGATGCTCATGGGAGGAGGCTGGGGAAAATGGGGTTTGCAGGAGAGGGACAGGACCTGGTTGGGGACAAACTCACCGGCACGAAGCTGTACAGGGTGCCCAGCAGATGCTTAGGGGCACTGACGAGGGTCCCCCCGAGAGCATCCACTGTTTCCATGGCCCTGGACAGCCTGCGGGGGGTGAAGAGGATCAACCCCTCTGCCGCATCCCAGGCCACGGCTGGGACCTTCTTCACGGTAGAGATGCCTGAGGCGCAGGCGCTTTGCAGGTTGTGAGCCACGCTGCCCACCAGCCCAGGGTCCTCCCCTGCCTGCCAAGAGAAACCAGCTCAGATCTTGATCCTGGCCCCTTCCCCACCGGCCCCTTCATGCGGGATGGGCTGGCCCTCGGCTCCCCTTCCCCTTCACAGCTTGAAGCCTGAGTGCTTTCCGCTCACTGCTCTGGAAGAGCCACTGCAGCCCTTTGCAGCAGGGTCGCTCCCTGTCCCCACCAGCTCCCCCCACTCCAGGCCCCCGGGGACCCTCTGCTCCAGGCTGTGCTTCCGCTGCAGGCAGAGGCGAAGGGCAGTGACCCCAACCTGCTGCTTCCCGTCCCCACGTCCCAGTGGAGCCAGTGCCGGAGACTGTTCCCAGCCCCTCCAGCTCACACCACCCCTTGCTTCTGGGACCATGGGGGGGGGGGTGTGTTTCAGGAGTGTTCTGGGGCTCAGTTGTGAGCTCTGTGCTGACACCCTACAGCTCCAAAGGAGTCTTGAACATACAAGACAGCGTGACCCTGCCTGCACAGAGGCTGCCCACAGCCCCCAGCTTTGGAGAATCAGGGAAGAGGACTGCTGGGACTGCCCCCCTGCCAAGCCCCCAACTCATCTCCTCCAGGCTGCAGTTCAGGGTTCAGTGGGGATGGAGGCCTGGTCCCCAGGGGTGTGGGGGAAACAGCCTCCATGCCGGCATGGTCCATGGGTAGGAGGATGCTTTGGGGTATCCCTAGCTCACTGCCCTCCTTTTCTCCATACCTTGCTGTGGTTGTTGTCTTTCTTCCCTGCCTTCTCCTGCTTCTGCTCTGGTGCCTTGCTCTGCCGCCGGCTCAGCCAGCCGCCCGTGCTGCTCTGCCCGTCACTGTGGGCCGGCGGTGCCGCGGGTATGCTCGGCTTGGCCAGGCTGCCCTGGAAGAGCAGCAAAAAGCCATCTCTCAGAGGGAGCTGGCAGGTCCCATCCACTCCATCCTGCTTAGCCTGAGGATTTTTCAGGGACCTTGGGGTGCACAGGGAGCAGGGAGTTCATTTGTGCACCCGAGAAGAAACCCCAACAGCAGATGGGAGCTCTGGGATTTTGGGACAGGCCAGGGAAGGGGTTCCCACTGCAGCATGGGGTGGGAGAGGGGCCTCTGTCTCCTCACCCCCTCTGGGTCTCTGGAGGGGCTTTTTGCTTTAGGAAGGATGTTATGGCAATGCCATAAATCAACAATTATACACTGGGAGTCTGCTAAAAATAACTTGTCCCACTGATGTGGTACATGGTTGTGTGTGAACATCACGCAGGAACCAATGGCCCCACCTTGTCCTGCTGAGCAGGAGATACATACTCTGCGCTTGGACTTCCTCCAAGCTGCCTGCAATGTCTCATGTGAAAATTAGCCCCAAAGAGGGTATGGGGTGCAGAAACCCAGCAGGTGGGATTTAGCACTCACCACGATGGGGATCCAGGTGGCCAGCTCCTGCCCTTTGGTTTTGGCACGCTGGAGGCTTTGAGTGGTTTGCTGGTAAGCACGGTGGGAGACAGAGCTAACCAAGGCACCAATCCGGCCCAGGGTGCTGGGAGAACTGGGAGTGCTGGGTGCACTGGGTGTGCTGCAACCACTGGGAGCACTGGTAGAGCTGGCAGTGCTGGCCTGCTGCTGGGAGACCTTTGCTGTTGACTGATGTTTCTTTTGGGGCTTCTGATCTAAAAGGCAGAAGAGCACAGGCAGAAGAATGGTGGAAAGATTACAAGCTGGTGGGACAACCCTCCGAGGCAGCCCTACACCAAAATCCAGAGGCTGCCTCCTGCCTCATACACTCCACAAGTGAGGAGCTGCCAAGCCAGCCATCACCAGACACCCTCAGAGGGGATTTAGGCATCAGGACTACCTGCTTCTTCATCCTCCTCTGGTAGCAGGTACTCCATCAACTTCTCCAGCCCTCCCAGGGCTGTGTCGACCCCCGCAGCTGCCATCTGGGTCACTGAGTTCTTCCTCGTGTACTTTGCTGTCGTTTCCACTGTGCTCTTGGTGGCCTCATAGCCCTCCGCTGCCAGCTCTATGATCTTATCCATGGAGCTGCCAATGGTGCTTTTGGCACTTTGGAGGGGGCAGGAGATGGTGTCCTTCAGTTCAGATGCAAGCTGCCAACAGAGAGATGGAGAACAGCCCTGCTGGTGAGCTTGGGGTGGCATGGGACAGCTGGGGGAACCAGAGGGACCCCAGCCATAGCCATGCCAGTAAACAGCTCAGAGAGGGGAATAGCAGCTCTCTCCTGCCCGGGATGGAGGTAGCTGGCAGGAACGGGACACAGGACATTTTTGATCTGTATCTGGGAGCCTTCACTTAGGCTGCCTTGTTTTCCACCCAGCAGCCCCTCACCATCCAGAAACAAGACCAGAGATGTGCTGTGGGGTCTGCAGTGGGAGCGGGAGTTTCAGATTGCCCTGCCTATGACTTACCTTATCAACTGGATACTGCAGGGCAGGGATCTTCTCCTCCAGGTGGTCCAAGCCACGGCAAGCCAGGTTGTTGGCCACAGCGACTACCTTGGGCAGAAGCACAGTAAGAAAAGTACCCTGGGCTGTCCAGGCACATACTCGTGCCATCACTGTCCCACCAAGGGAGGCTCTGGTGGGCACCCCTGCCATGCCCCCCCAGCATTGGCACTCACACTGTGGCTCCAGCCTCCGCACCACAGGCTCCATGCCCCACATGGCCAAGGCGCCAGCGCCCTGCACGCCCCGCTCGTACACCTCACACACCGAGGCCATCAGTGGGTGGGCCTCCTTGGTGCTGGTGTAGGTCCGCTGGAGGCTCTCGCATGTTGAGCTCACCACTGGCAGCTGCAGGACCCTCTGCAGCACGTTCTCCTGCACATCAGATGGGCATCAGTTAGCCAACAGCCTTTCCCTGAGGAATGCCCCATTGCCCACACACTGGTGGCATTTGATGTGTTTCAGAGAGCACTGAAAAGGCCATTTCTCAAACCCTATTGAGAGTCTCCCATCTATGTCCTGTAAGACATAGCCATGGACAAGCAGGCTGTCTGCTGCCACTGAAGGAGCGAGGACATCACAGGCAGTGTCAAAGGGATGACAATCCCTACTCTTCCCATCTCCCAAGCCCAACTGTCCGGGTTCTCCCTCTGGCTTTCCACTCTGGTGGAAACCTCTATGTCTGATGGAGGTTTGGGGCTACAGTGGGGCCACAGATGAAGGACAGGCACTGCCGGCAGCTGTCACCCAGGGCTCACATCAGCTCAGGGTTAACCTTTTGGAATCTGAACTATTTAATTTCAAGCAAGCAAAAAGGTTTATTTTTTCCCTTTGATGATGCTCTATGTTGTTGCAGGTAAAGATCCATAAAGAGATAACACAGTGACATGTGGGACAGCGTGAGATGTGACTGCTGTTCACCTGGCAGAGTTGGTATGTGCTACCTGGCCCCCTTGGCACACTTCTGCCCTCCCCTCTCTCCCTCTTCCCGCACCCACCTTGGCACTTCCATTCTGCAGAGTCTGACTCTTCTTCACCGTCATCGTGGCACATCCACCTGCAAAGCAAAGTTGGGAGCCGCAGACCCCACTGCGAAGGCAGGGCTGTGCTCAGGCTCCCTCCCTCAGTCCTGCACCCCTCCAAGCACAGCAGGGCCGGGAGCTGGGCTGAGACACACACATCCCACGGGTGCAGTGGAGTTGGCATTGCCCAATGCTTGACTTTTTACCAGTTAAGCTGTAAAACCAGTGTCTCCACACAGCCCTCCCCTGACAGTGTGTCCTAACACCTAAAGATGCACAAAATGAGCTGAGAGACATCTAGTTAGCAGTATTACAGTATAGGCAGGATAAAGGGCATTGGCAAAGCAAACTCAGAGTAACCAGGGTGCTGACAGATGTGCATGAGAATAGACTCAGGCTGAGAAAGAGCAGAGAGAGGAGCTGTAGGTAGGGATGTGATGAGATGTCCAGCTGAGGTCAGCATCCCCTCCTCATACATCTGCTGTTTGTAATGTCAGTGCCCGTTCCTGTGCAGCTCCAGCTTGATGCAGGGGACAAAAGCACTGCAAAACACTCCCCTCCACTGCTCCTGGTTGGGTGACAGCCGAAAACACAACTGCTCCCAGCTCCCAGCCCCAGCACAGGCTCCCTTTTCTTAGCAGCAGATGAAATTCTCGAAATCTAAAAAGAGTGAGTGATCTCTGCTTTCACCCCCCAGTCCCATTGAAGCTGTGAGCACAGGCTACTCACCGAGGGGCAGCCCGTTCCCGGCAGAGCAGGAGCAGAGGTTGGTGGCTGCGCTGTCCCTTCACTCGGGTCCTCTGAGGGTGATGCTCTGTGCTCTGGCCACTACCACCACTATGAGGCCCCACCTCCCAGTTGCGTGGGTTTGGAAGCTGACGGATTGTGGTGGAAACTGGCCAAAAAGTTTCCTGAAGCCACCGTAATTGGGAACAGATGATGGCAGAAAATCCCCTTTGTTGTCTTCCCTGCACAGCCTGTGGTACAGCTGGGATGCACGGGGATTTAACACCACTCCTTCAGGAGAAGATGAGAAGAAGCTGCCTTTGGACTTCGCCAGCTCAAAAGCAACAGATCATGAGCAGCCAGGGAGAAGGTGCAGAGTCAGGCAGAGTTTCTCAAGATATTAAAACCTTCCTGCATTTCTGTAGCCCCTGTTTTGCCCCATGGCAGACAAGGATACCATCCCCTGCAGGGAAGCCTAACACAGACCAAGAACACAGTTTCTCCCTGGGAGAGTTTATTGAGCAGAAGGAGCAGAAGGCAGATGTAGGGGACACATCCTGCATTAAACAATCTGGTTTGGCCGGGTCTGCAGTTTCTAAGAGGATTCATTGGTCTTGGTGAGGAGGTTTTTAGCTGAGGGTCAGGGCAGACACTGCATTAGGCAAGCTCTAGGCATTTGGACTAGACAGAAATGGAGGAAAAAATCAAGTTGGAAGTGATCTCTGGAGGTTGCACTACTCAAAAGTAGGGTTACCCTCAAAGGTAGATCAGGGTGCTTAAGATCTTCTTCAGTATTGAAAATCTCCAAGGACCAGATTCCCATCTCTCTGGGACTTGTGCTAACTATAATAAGGGTAAACTAGCTTTTCCTTATGTCCAGATGGAATTTTCTCTCTTGCAATTGGTGCCTGCCATCCTCTACCTTTACGCTGTGCACCTCTGAGCAGAGTCTGTGCTCCAGTCAGTGCCAGTACAGCATGTGCTCCATTCCTCTAAATGCTTATCCTTTCAATGATTGATCCTCTGCTGGACTCTAGTCAAGATCTCTCCTGTGCTGGTGGGACCGAAGTAGGACACAGTTTCCCAAATGTAACCTCACAAATGCTTGACAGAGGAACAACTGCCCCTTTGACCCGCCAGCAACTGAAATGCTTCTCTTCCATGGCCTTGCTGCACGGGAGGCACACTGACAGCTCATTCCATCATTAGCAAATCCATTTGTGGTACTGACTGGAATAAGAAAAGACATCACCTGCATGGAGCTATATCAGGTCTTGGTTATTGACTACGGAGACCAAGGATGAGCCACACTGATGAGACAAGGACGACAAAGAGGACAAGTGCCAGAGGACAAGGCAATAACCAAGGGTATCAGTGCAGCTGAGTGATCCAGGCAGCCTGCTGACACGGGGCTGCTGTGTGTCCTGGACCACCTGGTGTGAGGCAGGGAGACCTCTGGCACGTGGCTCAGAACGCCTTCAGCTTCCAACTACCCTGTGCAGGACACAGAGGTGTGAACCCAACACTACTCCATGGTTCCCTGCTCCTGGCTGTGCTGCCTGTACATAGGGGTGGGAGACTTCCCAGGGACATGGGAAAGCCACACATGGGAGGTAAATAACCCCCCTTCCTTCCCAAAGAGTCCAGAGTTTGCTTCCAGCCTGGGGCTGTGCAAAGCTTGCAGGCCCGCCTTGCTGGCTGGGTACAGAGGCACATGAATGTGCTGGGCTGCCTCCAGCTCAGTGCTGGGGTGAGTCCTTGCCCTCCAGACAGCGGGACAAGGGGCACCAGCCTGCTCAAAAGTTTGCTCTCTTGGCACTGAGACTTTTTCCAGCCCTGCTGGCCTGGCTAAAAGTGCAGGGGGCATGCCAACCTCCTCTCTGCCTTGGCTGGAGTCAGGATCAACTGACAACACTGCCTTTGCCCTACTGACGCCTTCGCTCAGCCCCTCCCCTTCCTCTGGGGCAAAGGCTGTGCCAGCCCCAGGCTCTGCAGTGCAGAGGTACCACAGCCTCCACCACCCCACCGCTCCAGCTCACACCAGAAATGCTTCCTGTGTCCCTGCAGGCAACATTTAGAGTTCTGTGGATCTGTGAGGTGCAGGGAAGCAGTTTCACACCCTTGCCTCTGCAGTCTCCTCTGTACCATTAACATACCAGTGAGGGGATGAGCCAGATCCCCAAAGCCCAGCAAGACTTCTTTACACTTTGGTCTGGGAGGGGCCTGGGGAGGTAACTCCATTTCCATGCAGGATCACAACCCCATAACCACTGCTGACAGATGCCTGCCCAGTTTCTTTTTAAGCACTGCTTTCCAGGGCAATCTATTTAGACTTTTATTTTACTTGCAGTTCAAAAATTAAGTGTGATTTAATTCTTTGCTGCAACATAATCACATTACTTCCTGGATGGATTTAGAGACCAAAATATTGCCTTTCTCTAGGCAGAAAACCTTTCAGACACTTGAAGACCTCACACACCCTCCCCTAGTCACCCTTCTACTACAGAACTGGTTCATTTGGTGTCTCCCTGGAACTGCTGGTTTTTAACATTTGATTGTTCCTGCCACTCACCTGGGAATCCTTGGGAATTCCCTGAAATATCATGCCAAGCACAGTGTTAACAAGGAAGGCCTTGTCTGTAAGCAGAAGATGACCATTCTCCTGCTAACTGTTTCCATTACAAAATGTGTATAAGGCCACTAATCCAGGAGGAAACTCTTGCTAAAACACTGCTGAATGCAATGCTTTATACATTGTTCAGCAGCTGACATTTTGGAGCTTCCAAGGTCGTGAGGCCCTTACTACAGGGGATAGGAGCTAACAGTAAACTCAGTTTAATGGTTATCCTGGCTCCACCCCTTGCCATCTCTGCTGGAGATGTTACCCTTTGCTCTGTGCCCTGAACTGGCATTTGTCATTAAATTATGACCATCCAAATGAAAGGTTGTTTATAAGATACTGAAAATGCAGGTGCACCCCTTCCTTTCACCACAGCTGTGCCTATGCTGGGCACAAGGTTCCAACCCTCACTGCTGGTACTCAAGGGCAGCTGATGGCAATTCCCAAAATGTCACCTTGCTTCAGGGCATTCCACAGATGCAGTTTTATCTGGTAATCATATTTTTGCAGCTGAAATAGGGATTGTAAATTAGCCAGATGAATCTGGCTGCCACTTGGCTACTGCAGAAGGAAAGCTCTAGAACCCAACCAGAGGCTATGTTTCTTGAACAGTATCACTATAAAATTCAGAGGTGGGAGGAATCCTCCCTCCTTCATCATATCTTTATACCACCAAGTTACACACACAGACATGGTCTCAACACTCATTGCAGTTTATTGCTTGTGTTCAAACATCTTGTCCTTATTTCAACTGCTGTATTAGAAACAGATACAAAAAAAGGCACTAAAGGATTTTCTCCATATGATCATGATTCTATGGCTTCAGACACATTACATTAAGGTACCTTAAATCACCAGCCTCCAGCTGGGGAGCAGAAGGCAAATATTAGTGCTTAACATCAAGTAAACAGAGTTACTCCTGTATGTTCCAGCCTGCATCATGTAGAATGGGACAGGTAAGGCTCAGACAGGCTGAAAGCTCACCCCCCATCTCCCACATTAAGGGTGTCCTTGCTAATCCATGCCAGTACCTACAGGAGAAACATCAAAGCCTAGCTTATGGCTTTGCACAGTGTTTGCCTGCACAGGGAAAACCCCACCCTTCTCTGCAGGGCACGGGGGCTACATCACTATATCAATGCCCTTCCCTGCAAAGTAAAAGAGAGAAAGAGAAAGCAGTTCACACACAAGTATTTCGTGAAGTATTTTGCATCCGAGAGCTCCCCTGGGTGGGATTGAAACCACTTTTTTTTTGCAAGAAGATGGAATTTTGTAGACAAAAGGTGGCCAAACCTCCACTGTCAGATAATCAAGACTGCTCTTCCTTCCTTCCAGGGGTTGCTACACACTGGGATAATGATCAAATCTGACCAAGGCAGGGATGGGTTCCATATTGCCAGGAGATCAAAGGCAAATGGAGAATGAAACAAAAAAAATCCATTGTTATAAAGGAGAGGAAGCCCTTGAATACAATATATCCCATGCACAATGCTCCATTATGGTCTGAACTGCCAGTATGCTCTACTTTGAATGCTATTCATTTCCATATTAAAAAGAAGAGCTGCTGCAGGCCACATCTGGTCTTCAAGAACACTTAATTATCCTGCCCAGCAACCTCTTTCTTTTCAAACACTTCACTGGCAGGCTAACACTTCATATTCAAACTGGAAGTAATTCCAAACCCAGCCACAATGACTTAAGGTAAACTGGGGCACTGCCTTACCTGCCTACTTAATTCCATAACCTTTGCCTTTTAATAAAAGAGACCAGCATCTTTTAATTTCTGTTTTCAGATAGCATCAGAAATAATAAGAGAACACTTTGGTCCAGGTAAGAGCGTCTGTTCACATCTCCTGATAGATTAAACAAGGAGTTCTTACACCAGAAAGTAGCAGAACACACAGGCCTCACTCTGATGAAGAAAAATGTTAATTTTATCTCCTATATAATGTGCATTTTTTCTCAGATGGTGTCCAAACTGGTACTCTGCAAAGTCAGGAGCAGCAAAGACTGTATGCCACATTAGACAGCTGGACACAGCATTTCTCTTTTAACCTAATTATACTGCCAGGCATCATTCCCAGTGAGGTCAGTGATGAACAATAATGCACTTGCAGGGCAAATATGAGGCATTTTCAAATGGTAAAACCCATTCAGCCAGCAAGGGAACACACAAGAAATCTTGTGGTCATGAACAGGGAGGATAGGGAGGACCAGATAGGAAAATCTAAACCATAAATGCCCAAATTCAGTAAGAAGCTTTTCTTCTCACAGGGGATTCAGATGTTATCATGGCTAGCTCCATTCCCTTCCCTCTGGGAGCTTACACAATTAGAAACACACCCTTGCAGTCAGTCTGACTCAACTAGCTCTGAGCTAGGCTTCTCTACTTAACTGCAGGTTCCAAGCTCCTTATTATACTGGAATTTTTCATTTAAAATTAAAACTGCAAAATAAGCTCCTTATCACAACACAATTAATGGAAAATTGTTGCACTTGCAGTCACAGTGGTTTGGAAGTTCAGGTGCTTGTGTAATGGGAGGTTTAGTGTTCGTGAGTGGTTTCAGATTCACACTTTTGGAAACCCAGTTCCCTACAAATCATGGCATCACCAACAATCAAATTAGCTTCTCCACATACTGTCCTCCACCAAAACCCTCAGCCATGGCCTGCTGGAGGAGTCAGAGTCACTGGCCAACGGTCCTTGGCTCACAGTATCAAAGAAAAAGAAGAAAGTGCTGATTTCTTGGGACACAAGTTGGCACTCACTAGACTACAGCTCCAGCACCACCAGTGCACACCACAGAGATCATCAAAGGTCAGATCATACCACCCTTCAGTTACCATCACACTGCACCCAGACCACTGCCTGCAGGAAACAGGATCCATCAACCCAAACCCACCAAAACACTCATCCGTGACTTCAGGCCATTTTAACAGCAGCTCCTAACTTGCCTGAGCCCAGTACAGACAATCTGACTGTAGGAATCTTGAATTAGTGAATTGCAGCTTTCCAGTGTAAACATGATTAGTCATCAGTCATGTACCTATGACAGTTGCCTATGCAGCTATTTCACAACCCTGTATTAAAATAAAGGAATATTTTCTTATCTAGCAGCCATGTTCCAAGTCTTGTTTCTGCTGGTGAAATATTACTCTGCCTTTTCCTATCTCCACTCCATTAGGGGGTGTGTAATGGCACCAAACTCATCTGCAAAGGCACAGGGAAGGAAGAAGGGTAGAATTCACTTATTCAAAGGACAGAATTAATCTTGAGGTTATTGTAAGACAGGTTCATTTGAAAGTGCCATATGAAGATAAAAATCTATCAGAGGATCAAAGCTGCAGCCTCATACTATGCAGGTCCTTTTATGTCACTGTTTAAGCTTCAGATGTGGGCTTGCTAATGTGAGGATCCCCACCAGGGAGGAGAGGACACCGCAGAAACCAATCACTCCTGGGTTGGTCTTGTAGATTCCCAGTGTATCCAAAGGGCCTGAGAGATCACAGAGGTTCTTCACCAAGTCCAGCAGCAAAGGAGGATTTCTTTTCAGGATCTGAAAGAGCAGGAGGAGAAAACCGTGTGAACCATCACATTTCACACAGTTTAGCTCCCCGTTGTGTTTGTCCCAGCAGGAATTCTCCTTTGCCTTTTCTTCCTGTGCAGCTTGTTCCAGCCTCTGGGAGATCTCATAGCAGTCTCTGGCTAGATTCAGCAGGACTGAGTAGTAGTAGCACTTGGTGGCCCAATTGCTCCACTTGGGCTTGTCGATGTCGGGCTGGAGCCCGACGCTCCTCACCCAGAGCACGGCGTCGCACACGAAGTACAGGGCACGGGTCAGGTTGGAGGCTGTGAGGCAGAAACGAGGAACCACATCTGGCAGCTCTGCAGTTTTCCTGGCTGCCACCAAGGCGTGCACCATGTTGCCCAGTCTGAACACTGCAAGAAACCCCACAAAGGTTAGCATGGCCTGGTCTTGTGCAGAACAACGCAGCCTGTCACTGTCCACGTGTGCTTTAAAAAAACTTAGAGGGCTTTGGGTGTTTGTATGCTTGAGTACTTGCTGGTATTAGTGAGGAATGGGGTCTAAACATCTCAGTTCTGTGTGAACATCATGAGCCAAGGACCTACACACCTATTTTGTCAATAGCCAGACTTGCAGCCCCTCCTGCCACTCTGTTCTCAGCGCCTGGGTGTCCTCTGGACCAGTGTCACCCTTGGGTCTGCAGGAGTCACCGTCAGCAATAAGGGGACACAAACAGAGCCTCTAATCTTAGCTGTACATTTCACTGGATTTCACCTAACTCTGTGGACACGAGATGTTGCTGCATTAATCCTATTGCAAACAGGAGCTTCAGCTTTCCTAAGCATTTGTGAAAGCTGGTGATTCGCATGCTGAGCACAAATCCCTCCCATGAGTTTGTCAGAGACACATAGTTCCCTGCAAACTGTGTGGAACAGTGTATTCCATTTCAATATATGGCATACCTGAGTTCACCTGTGGCATGTCCCCGTGAATGTTAATGCAACATTATGCAATGCACTTTTTACACCCTGCTGCACTGTCACAGTGACAGATGGAACTACCAGAGCCCTGAGTTTAGGCCTGATGTCTATTAGTGATTTGTTTAGAAGAAGAGAGAGAATTATGGCTCTGTTGATAAACCAGCTGGCCTCTCCACTAGAAAATGCCATACTCTGGAGCAAACTGGAATAATAAACAAACCCATGGCAACACATTAAATTAGAATATTTGCTTCATGCGTTGCAGCTGTTCCAGAATTGAGCAACTGGTAAGTAGGTGTAAGATCAGCCCGAAAGCAAGTGATACAACTACAGCAACAGTGTAACCACCGTGCATGCAGCCCTGACACAGAATGGAGTGATGCAAACAGGCTGTGAGGAAAGCGTGGAGGGTAGGTGATTTAGTAAAGTATAAATGCTAGAGAAAATTAATATGTGAAGTAGGACATAAAAAAAATAATTATATATTAAAAAGCCATATTGAAAGATGGTCCTTCAGAGCTGATTTTATTGGGATGATGATCTTTAACTCTGGGTTGTCTCAGCCCATCAGCTGGAAGGACTAATGAGCACACAGTGAGACAGCCTTGCCTTGTAACTCTGGTCTGCCCTTGAACAGAGATGACAACTGCACCTCTGCAGCAAGCTGACTGTTAACTTTTGTTACTCGCGTTCTTCCAGCAACAATTCTGACTGCCCAATTGGAGAGGAGGCTGAGGGAAAAAGAAGTGTCTGTTTGGCCATACCCAGCCTGGCAAGCCATGGCAGGGATAAGGCCTGTTGACAACTTTGTAAATACACTAAAAGAGTTCTGTGGTTAACTACAGAAAACACAAGGCCAGGAGCTGTTTTGCTGGAAGGAGCAAGTAAAGAAGGTTTTATCCCTCTAGACAGCAGGTACTTACTTTTCCGGCCAGAGCTCATGCTAGATTCCAACTGCTTGAGTTTCATTACCAGCTTCTTTTTATCGGCCTTATTCTTTATTAAATAGCTAAGCAACATGCATGTGAACTGAGTGGCTCTGGAAGGGAAAAAACGAGGAGAAGGGGACACAGGTGAGACATGGACAATCATGGGATGGCAGCAGCAGGGTGGGTTTATTTCACAGAACCACAGATTTAAGGTTGGAAGGGACCTCTGGAGATCACCCAGTCCAACCCCCCTGCCAGGCAGGGTCACTTAGAGCAGGTGACAGAGGAACGTGTCCACGTGGGTTTGGAACCTCTCCAGAGAGGGAGACTCCATGACCTCCCTGGGCAGCTGTTCCAGTGCTCTGCCACCCTCAATCGAAACAAGTTCTTCCTCATGTTGAGGTGAAACTTCTTGTGCTTTAGTTTATGCTCCTTGTCCTGTCACTGGGCACCACTAAAAAGAGTCTGACACCATCCTCTGACACCCCTTTGAGATATCTGTACACATTAATGAGATCCCCTTTCAGTCTTCTCCAGACTAACCAGGCCCAGCTCCCTCAGCCTCTCCTCAGAACAAGGATGCTCCAGACCCCTCACCACCTTTGCGGCCTCCGCCGGACCATCTCCAGCAGCTCCTTGTCTATTGTACTGAGGAGCCCAGAACTGGACAGAGTAAAGCGTAATGTCCGAGCCTAAAGCCCGATCCGAGGGTCCCCCCGCAGTGCCAGGGCAGGTGCATGTGCGGGGCCGGGGCCGAGGTCGGGGCCGAGGGGCGGGATGGGCGCGGGGCCGGGGCCCGCCCGACCCAGGGGGGCAGAGAGAGGCAGCCTATGCCGGCACTCACCGGAAGAGCTGGTCGCGGCCCTGGCAGCGGTTGGTGAAGTCCACGAACCCCTCCATGGCCCGGCGGCACCGCAGGAGCTCCGCGGGGGCCGCGGCCGCTCCGCCCCGCTGCGCCCGGGCCCCGCCCCGCCAGGGGGAACGCGAGAGCTGCGGGGCCGCGTTCCCGGCCGGGCCACGGCAGCGACGCGCCGTTACCACGGCGACCGTCAACAGCGGGGCCGCGACGGTGTTACTGCTAAAGGCTTCCCCCGCCCGGGAGCCGCCGACGGCTCCTGCGGCGAGTCCCGCCGGGAAAGCTGGAGGAGCACGGCCCGGACTCTCGGCCTCCGGCCCCACTCCGAGGTCAGGCCGATGTGTGCGGTGACGGCGGTGGGGGTGAGGCTTATGAAGCATCCAGTGGCTTGGAAATGAAGTTTATAACTTCCAGTGGAAACACCTGCTCTTCCAAGTTAATTGTCGTTTGTTTTTTTTTTCCCCAAGCCGAATAAGTCTATTAATTCAAGCTAATATTTTTGAAGCTTTGTCATAATTTTTATACAAACTCGTGCCAAAGTTGTTTAGGCTCCCTTTTCCCTGCAGGCAGCCTGCAGATTCCTGTGTGACTGCTATTCCCAGAGCAGGACAAAACCCCTGGGTAACAAAGGGGATACGAGCAGAAATAAGCTGTACAGAACAGGGTTGCTCTGGCTACCAGTACTGAAAGGAACTCCCTCTCAGAGATTATTAATCATCTTTTCCCCCATTACCTCATTAAAGTAGATATTGCAGGACTCTTCATTCTTCTGCACCCAGGGTGATTCCTGCATCTGTGGTGTTCTTTGCACCTGGAAAGGCAGAGCCATGGCTGCGAATATCCGGAGGCATCCCCTGGAGATTCCCCCACCATCTGAAAAGGACTGGCCGAAGGATGATGAGGAAGATTTCTTCCTGCAGGATCCTGATCGGAAGTGTGATGCGTTGCCTCAGCCCTTCAGGATGATCAACAAAGTGGTGATGCAGGTCTTTGAGAGTGCTATGGAAATCATTGAGAGAAGGGAGATGCTCCGAGAAGCACAAAAACGGAAGGTCCAGTCCACAAAATGCTCTCCTACAGCTGAATTCCAGGTACAGAGCCCCCCACACCAGAGACAGCATTAACCACTGTAGCGGCTTTCCTAAAGAATATCCCTTCAGTTGATTTTACATTCTTCTGTTCACGACCTTCCTCAGGATCTGCCACCATCTCACTAGTTCACTTTAAAAGCCTGCAGCTTCTAAGCTTGTCTGGCAGGTTCTGCTTCCCACTCGTCTATCACACCTCTCTGAAAAGAGAGAAGCCGATATTAAACACTAAAGTCACCTTGTGCTTCCCAGGCTGGCTCCACCCTTGTCTGCTGAGGAGAAGGTAATTAGCCAGTAGCACATAAATGGGCAAGCTCAGCTCTGTGCTGTAGTGAATACTCCAATGGGAGCACTGCAAGCAGAAGGGCAGTGCTGCCTTCTCCATCATTATGTAGAGAATCCAGGAGGATACACTGGTGTGCTGCAGCTGCCTGGAGGGATTCAGCACAGCTCTGTGTTAGCTGTGGGAAGGCTGAGTGCTCCTGAGCTCTTGGCCTTTAAAGCCCCTCCTGTTTATGGGAAAGGGAAAGGTGGGAACAAACTTTCTCATTCCCAACACAAAACAATCTCTGTGACAGAGATGAGAGCCTGCTCTCTGATGCTTCCCTGCTCTTCTCATGAAAGCACATGTCAAAAGTTTTCCCTTGTGGAATAAATCATCATTTTCTGTTGGTGAAAGCCCATGAGTATATCGTTAGCATGGCTGATGTATCTTCCTCTGGGAAGGCAGTCAGGTACTACACTCATGTTTTCCCTTTCTTGGTAGGTGACTGGAAGAGCCAATTGCCTTGCAGTGTCTGGAAAATACCTCTTTGTTGGTGTGTCTGTGGGTCTGGCTGCCTTCAGCACATGTGACTGTAAGGAAATCTGTGCTTGGGATGCAGTCAAGACAGAGATCTGTGCCCTCCATGCCTCGGATTTGGGGAATGAGAGCCATGTTCTGCTTGCTGTGGATGAAATGGGTTAGTGTGACATGGATTTCCTTGCCCTAGCCAGGGATAACTGTGCTCCGGAGCTGAATAGGCAGCTGCATTATGGAAGAGTGCTAAATCAGGAGGAACATTAGGGTGGCTGACAGGTTTCCTAGAAAGCCCTGCAAAGAGGGCGTTAGATACCTATCAGGTTGCAGGGTGGCAGAGTGGCCCTAGGGCCTTGTGATTAGCACAGGGTGTGGGTTTGATGTCCTCTCTGGAGCAGGAGAGGCAGGTGCAGAGCTGAGGGTGAAGCACAGCAAATGTTAGGAACACCTTGGACTGGACAGAAAGAGCACTGCTTGGTATGACCTCCTGCCCATGACTGTTTCTGCACCTGTGATTTCCCTGTGGGAAAGAGATTAGTTTGTTGGTTCATCTGAAACCTATCAGTTCTGGTGGAGATACTTTTCAAACTGGCTTATCCATCTCCATGCACAGTCAAATGTTTGCTGGTGATGGCATAAGGAAGCCAGCAAAAGTTTAGTGCTGGAAACAGTGGGATATTGCTCCTTGAGCCCAGGAAAACAATGTAGTCCTGTTCACTCTCCTGCACATGTTGTAACAACCATCTCCCAAAACCATGGCTACCATCTGTTCACTTTTCTTCCCCTCCTCCTGCTACTTCTGTATTTCTATTCCAGGGCTTGTCTGGCTCTTCTGCTTTCATAAGGAAAGCTTCCTGCTCATTAAAGCCCTAAATGAAGTGGTAAGTACTGAGTTAATTCCATAGACCCTGGGCACAGGCTGGTAAGTAATCAATCATGAGGAGTACTAATTGCCATCAGGAATTTCTGCCACAGGCGGCAGCACTCCAAGAGTGCTGCCCAATATTTATTCCCATTCATCCAACAACCTGCCTGGCCTTCAGCCTGTTGAGAGCTGCGTAAGGCCACGGAGCTCTCTGAATCAGTGATCCTTGCTTTGATGCCAGCCTGTTTTCCTTTGGCAGGGGGATATCAGCAAGAGAAGCACTTGTGTGGAGGTGGTGCTGTCCCCAGGTGGTGATTATGCAGGAGTCCTGCTGCAAGGCAAGTGCAGAAACATGGTGTGTTGGGTGACAACTGCTGTGTTCTGTCACACATCAGAGGGGCCAGCAGCAATGCTTTTAAAATGCTGCAAGTGTTCTGGGTACACAGGGATCCTGTTATAACCCTCCCAGTCCCTCCTCCAGCTTAGAGAGCTGCTCCTACCACTCCCTGTCCTCTCTAAAAGGCTTGGGGGGGACCAGGACTGATCCTAAAAGTGAGCTGTCTGGAACCAGTCAGTGCAGTTCCCAGCTCCCAGTGAAAGCAGATTTCCCCCTCCTCTCCAGGAGTCCCAAACTCAGTTTTTCCTCTGTTTTGCCATGGCTCACTTTTACACTGGGAATAGGTAGACCTGAAGAATTTTCTCACCAGACAAAATCAGACAGCATAGAGAATTTCTAAAAACTTGACAAGAAACTCCTTGCTACAACGTTCTTCTGTTTCATGGCAGTTGTCTTAGTGAATCCACTGCAGGCAGGTTTTCTGGACCCATGTTTGGTGGAATCTGCCTGGACACATACTGAGTATGAGATATGTAGCATCCACAGAGAACTAATGTGAGACCACATCTCACTTTCTACTCTGCTACTCAGAGGCTACAGGTCAAATTCTTGACTGAGTAGCTTCATGGAATTTCTTTGGTGGGTATGGGACCTCAGGGACTTGAGCTGGAGGCTGAGATGTGAGTTTCAGTCAAGCATGTCAGGCCTTCAGTGGGAGGAGAGGTGGACTGCATGGAGTTCAGAGATTTTATATTCAAAAAATACACGATAACAGAGGCTGCTTGCTTGAAAGACCTTTTCTCCTCATTTCTAATTGCTCAACATGGTTTCCCAATGCAGAAAGCACAAAAGCTTGGCTGGAGATCTACCAATTGCCTAAGGATTCCTGGCTGAGGGAGATGGAAGAGAAATCAGAAGCTGCAGCAGGGCTGGCTTGCAGTGAGAGGAGGCCAAGCTGTACATCTGCGGTACAAAACAGTTCCATCTCCCACTGTGCTATTTTTCCTTACACCCTTTTGCCCACAGGTCTTTCCCCAAGCCTTGCTGCTGCAGACAGTGACAGCAAGATACAGGCTGAACAAGTCTGTTGGCCCAAGGGGATGGTGTGTGTGTCTCTACAACTACTACAGCTGCCCATCCCACATTTCATAAGGCCTTTGTGTTATTGGGCCATGTTTACTCTCCCAAGACAGGCTTTCCAACGAGATTCCCTTGGTCCCAGGGTTAGTGTTCCTGCTGCCCCTCCCTGAAACTGGCAGCTGATTTCCCAGCAGTATTGCCCCATTTGAGAGGGCCCTGTGTAAGGGTATTCCCACAGGGCTTCTCTCTTACGTTACTAGGGGAAGGTGAAGAGGAGTGGGAATCAGGCAGGATGCCTCACTTGGGGAATCTGTCCCTGAGCCAGGGTTTGTGTTTTAGACTACCTAACATGAGGAGCCTGGTGGGTAATGGCCTCACCCACCTGAGCAGGGCAGAGTCTCTGTCTGTGTGCACTAACCACTGTCACCTCTGGTTCTTGTGCAGGAAACTCAGGAACTGCATGGAGACAGTTCTGCAGAGATGGTAAATGCCCTCAGTGACTATCCTGAGCTGTTATGGGGAATTTTAAATGCTGAGTCAGGGCATAACCATCCCCTCTATCACTTTCACCCTGCTAGATTTCACCTCTCAACACACAGGAGGCATGCCCTGACCAGCACCTTCAGCTAACCCTCTGTGATACCTGCCTCCTAATTGTTTCCTCTTCCTTTGGCAAAGACTTTCCTGGACATTTATGAGGGAACTGCTTCTCAGCCCTGCCTTTAGGGCAAACATCCCCCTTTACTTAGCCAAGCCAAAAGCAAACACCTAGGCAGTCCCTCTTTGCTGATTCCATATAAACTACCCAAGTTCCTGCCCCTTCCCTCTCAGACATGGTTGATTATTTAGGCAGACCTTTTCTGTTTAGCCAGGTCTAAATGTGTGTGGGGTGGTGATGGTGGGCACATGCCAGTACTGGTCCCCTGATACAATTTTGTATTTCCAGACAAGCATATAAGTCACTTTTTCCACTCCTGAGTTCTATGAAGTAAAATCTGGTTCTTGTCTTCAGTAGCACCCCTCAACCTTTAGTCCTGCTTATTTTCCTTTTTTTTTTTTCTTTCTTTTTTTTTTCCCCTGCATTTTCTGAGCACTGCTGTGACTCACACAGGCCTGTGCTGTAACAAGAATAATTCAGAGATGGCACAAAACCAGGAGTCTGGACAGGACATCCTTTGTAATGTTGTCCCCTGTTGTTGAGAAAGCAGTGACACTTCTGTGTTTTGGCCTGAAGAATGAGCCTAAAGCCAGTATCTCCTAAACAGTGCCAGCCAACCTTTGCATACACATTCTTTAGGAAGCCTTTGATTCCCATGAACAGCTGAAAACTCATCAGTGTAGTGCACAATGCAGTTTTCAACACTTTTCCATTGCAGGACTTTCCAGTGTCTGCAAACCAAGGTGATCCAAAGCTGGATCTCCCAGTGCTGCTGCTGACAGTGAAGCCACCCGAACCCATAACAGGTCAGAACTCATTCTGCATGTGCAACCTGCAGCCTGTTTCAGGTGGCAAAGGAATCATGGCCCTTACAAATATAGAACAGGTCAGAAAGTTTCAGTAACATGCTCCATGGTCCCTTCCTGACTTGTCTTTCTAGTTGCATGTAATCCTGTACTGGGAGTTGTTTCCTACTGGGCCATCTCACATGTCATCCTTGTCAGCACAAAATATTTCAGTGTGTCTCAAAGTGGGTGTCATACACCCTTGGCTTCAGTGTCATTGAAGAGGGAGGAGGTTACTTCCTGGACCCTGACAGCACCCCTAGTTCATCACTCTGGATTTATAGGAAAATACTGAGGATGTGGAGGGAACAGACTTTATGCTGGGAGAATGCCACAGAAAGGCAAGGTGAGCAGGGTCCTCAGAAGTCTCGCCCTAGTCCCTGCCTTCAGACAGTGGAAAATGGACTAGTGATATGGAAATTCCCACAGCAGTTGCAGTGTCCTGCATCAAGACAATGCCACCCCAAAGGAGGGATAGTCAAAATGCCTCTATGCTGTCTGCTCCTCCAGGGTCATGCCTTTTCCCTTTGTGTTCTCAATCCAGGCAGTAGTTTTGAAAGCCCATTGGATGCCTTGAAGGAAGTGGATGATGGCAGCATGCTTGGCTTGGGGTACAAGCACCTGATCAAGGATTTCCAGTGGGAGCTGCAGGAAGCAATCTTCCGTAGCACGTACCGGGAGTATCTGGAGGCTGAGGGTGTGATCAAGGAGGAGGTCCCCAGGTGAGTAGGAGCACCAACCAGGATTTCAGTCCATGAGTCATCAACACAGGGCACTCAGCAAGTGTAGATGGAAGCCTCTGTCTTATCTTTGCCTCCTTCATCCCAAGGCTTCATGGCAGGGGGCTGCAGACATTTCAGGTCTTGTCACAGTGCTGTGCTGTTATAAAAGCCTTTCTTTTACATATATTTCTTCCTTTTTTTCAGACATGCTACCTTTCATTTCCTTTTGCCTAGCCAGGTCCTACAGGTGGGACCTGATATGGAAGTACAACCAGGTAATCCAAATGGGCAAAAAGCTGTTAATCTATGAAGTACATTGTTTGCATGATGTTGAGCTCCACTTAGAGCTCAGTGGTTCTGGCTTGGGTTCACTCTATAAATTCCACCTCTAAGGACAAAAGCCTGGGTAAAACTGTCAGCCCTAAGACTTGTTAGTCAGTTACCAGCATGGAGCAAAGAAAACTTATCTCCATAGTTTAAAAAAAAGCCCACAACTCTCCTACCCCTCAAAACCACCCAAAAACTGGAGGCACGTAGGCAAGATAAAAATAACAAACAAAGGGAGAGGTTATCTGGTTTAGTTTCTGTATGAGCAGAGTTTCCATCAGGGAAACCATGAATCCTCTAATGAGAGCTTTTTAATGATGTTTTTTTTGTCTTGGATTATTCCTTTCTTTGTCCCAAGTCTCCTTCTCTTTTTGTTGTCCTCTTCTCTGTACCAGATGTTCCAGCTGGCATTGGTGTGCACTGGGGTGGAAACCACAATTTCTGCTTGTACTTACTTAGCCATCCACTCAATGAGCAAGTGGGTAAGAAAGTGTTGCTTTCTCTAGCAGAGCACTCTGTGGGGAGTGGGAGTGTTCTGTGGCCAGTGGCTGTCATTCTGCCAGGTCTTTGTGATTCAGGGAAATGAGGAACTGGGAGGAGAGCTGACTCATATCTTGTGGGTTAGACTGGCATTGGGATTGTGGGGCTCTGTGTTGCACAGGCTGACAGTCTTGTTAGTGAAGCCACTCTGGCAGGAGACTGCAGAATGGTGCATGTTTTATTGGGAAAATGGATGCTAGTACCATGAGAGAGAATGCTCCACACCTTCTTACAGTTGTATCTCTTCATGTCATTCTGTTTAGATCCTGATCTGAAACCTGATGTTGTGTGGCCTTGTGCAGCTCCAATTGCATGCTCGGCTGTCAGTTCCTGCTCCAGGTACCTGGCACTGGCAGGTGAAGATGCAACAATAACTATTTGGGATAAACACTTAGGTGAGCTTGCCCTTTGGGACTGTGTATTGGGATCACTGTGGATAAATTACTCGCTTCCCTAGGAGCCTGAGGCTCTGGCTTAGTGTGAACAAGTGGCTGGTAGTGAGTTCACAAGCAAACCTGTAAATAGTTTGGATTCGATAGTCCATCAGATGCTTGGCCAGAAGTTGCCAGCACAGTGTGATTTCCCTTGCCCTTGCAGAGCCATTCCCATCCACGGCACTGCAGGGGCTGGAACTGCTGCAGGGAGGACTGACAATGGTCTTGCCCTGAGGCTGGGAGACAGTGTCAGTCACTGCTTTGCCACTGCACTCTCAGGTCATCTTTGAGACTGTTGTGGCATCACAGTTCAGGCTGCCATCAGTGCCAATGTCATCTTACCATGATGCAGGGTTTCTCCTGGCAGAAGAGTCTTCTTCTGCCATCAAGCTTGTTCTGGTGGCTGCTTCCTCTGAGCAGGCCACAGTCCAAGCTAAGCTTTCCTTGGATAAATTGCCAGTTCCTTTTCCTTCCTCAGGATTCCCACTGTCTGTGACTGCCATTCTAGAGGAACGTTTCATCCGTAGTATCCACTTTCTGCGGAGTTCTGCAGCTGCCAGTGATGACACACTTTGTCCTGGTACAGATCCTGTCTGTCTCATTGTACAGCTTCTCGTGCTATGTACAGACAGCTCTTACTATTTGGTGAAAGCACCCAGGGCCGGGAAGTCCAGCATCACACTCCTGGCAGACAGGTGAGGTGAACTCTGATAAACCTCACTCCAGCCAAAGAAGCCCTGGGTACAGTGGTCAGGTCTAACAGGGAGCCCCAGATTTCTGTAGAGTAGAGAACTTTCTACTGCTTTTACCCAGAGGGCTCTGCCATGCTGCTGTCATCGGCAAGTGTGGTTTTGCTCGTGCTAAAATTCAGTGATTATGCCAGAATTAGAGGTGTTTCTCAGCTCTTCTGTGCACCAAAACACAAGTACTTGTAGCACAGCTCCAGAGCTGACGTTGAACTATTTCTGTCTCTGTCAGGTACCCAGGGGAATTTTTTCTTCGCTTTTTTGCCCTTAACAGTGTAACTTCCCCCTAAAAGTCAAAATAAACATTTGTTGCCATCTTTCTATCATTTTTGTGTTCACTTATCCCCTTGGTTTGAGGAGAAGGGAAGCTGCTGCTCTGAAGGCTCTGGATCCACGCCTCCATGGCAGGCAGGAGATTTGCAACTCCAGTGTAGTTCCTAGGCAGGTTTGCACAGGGATAGGCCTCAGGGGTTCCTACGCAGAAGGAGACAGGCTTTGTCTGTATAGGGAAGGGGCTTGGCTGGAACTTTATGCCAGCCAGTGTGCCACAAACTGCCACTGTCTTTATCACAGCCTCTCAGTATGTACCAGGTACATGGAACAGTGACATAAACCTGTTCTTTTACAGGCCTGAAGACCCAAATCTTACTGTCAGTGCAGTGGTGCCCATCCTGGCCTTCCCCAGTGCAGTGAGTATTACTGCCAGATCTCTTGAGAACTGGCTGAGAACACATGTCCAGTTGACGTAGGATCTTGTTTCCAGTAATGACTGTAACTGGGTGCCTAGAAGATAAAGCACAGGGCAATCAGATATAGTTCTGCCCTCACATCCTTTCCCAGCCTCCAGCTATTTTTAGCATGAAGACTGCCTGCCCCAGTTATAGGTCTATATGTAGCTGGCAATGGTCAAAGGGTTTCTCTTCCATTGCTCAGTATGCCCTGGGACCTGTGCCCTCTAGTTGACCACTGAGGTGCGATGCACTGGAGGCCCTCTGCACATGGACAAGTGTCCAACTGAAAGAGGAGAGGGTTCAGCCATGAAGCTTCAGGCATCAGGGTCAAATATGAGGGGGTATCATGGTGAGAAAGTTACAAACACAAGTCCAGCCAGACCTTTCAAGTGGCCTCAGAAAGGTGGAGACAAGGACTAAAAGCCACTCACCATAGCAGCCATGCAGAAGGCTGGATCTAGTTCATTTCTAATGTGGCCTGTTGCCCTTTTCCAATCCCAACATGCAGCAATTCAGTTCAAGTTCCCTGCATGACCTGCTCTTGATCTGCTGTTGCCATATGACTATGGGGCAGGCAAAGAAAACAGCATCATAGTTGTGGATGTAAAGTTCTGAATGTCATTCCATGTCCTTTCCAGGAAATGTTTTTCACTTCTTTTACCTCTATTTCTAAGTGTCAATTTGCTGTTTCAGGTCCTGATCTTCTTCTGGGATGGCACAGTGTCCCTGATGAACACTGACACATCACAGACTGTTTACTGCTTCAGTACTCCACCTTCTCATGCTGTAGCATCCCCCTGGCAGCCAGTGTTCACAGTGGATAGTGTAAATTCCTGCTTGCTCCTTCGAGGTGGGTGTCTATGACCTTGGAGTGGTCATAGATACACGATCTCTGGGTGCATTCAGCTGTGCCCTGATCCTTGATAGTTCTTATTGGATGACTTCTGATGCAGCAGCTCACTGTGCTCATTTCCGTCTAGGAGATGAGCAGCAGCAGGACAATGAATTGGCACAGAGCAAAGCCAGTCACAGCACCATCTTCCTTTTTGATTTCAACCCACTGAAGGAGGCTTTCCCAAAGGAACCAGATTTGCCTCTCAAATCCTCGCAGAACCTGCCATGGTTTGAGAGATGTAATGTTTTCTTGCGTGATAGGTAAGTTTCTCCTTCTGCCTGAGAGGTAAGTGCACCTGCATTATTGTAAAAGCCCTAGTGTTGCTGAGGTTCATGCAAGGTCTCACCCTGGATCTTCTGGGTTGTTCTGTGTGCTGTGACAGATTTGTGTCTGGGTGAGGTTAATGTTCAGGAAGCTGGATTCCTGACAGCCTCCCAGAACCTTTCCTCTTCTCCCTTCTGTCCTTCCTAAAACAGCTTCAGATGTAAGTCAGGATGCCTGGGACAGGCTTGTCTTTCCAGGCGGTGAGAGCTTGCGAGTTCTAATGTGCTTTTCTGCGACACAGATTGTGCAAGCTTGTTATGGATTATGATCCTCAAGTGTCTGCATCTTCCTTTTGATCCCACAGCCAGGCAGAGCTGCGGTCTCTTTATACCTCTCTTCTCCCCTCCACTCACGGGTTTATTTGATGTTTAAGTAGGTTTGTCTTGGAGGTTCTTCGGTTTGAGACCACCATCAGCCTCGAGCCGAGGTCGCAGTTTAGCTGATGCATTGCATTGATGCCGTCACTAGATGGCACTGTGACATCTCTTTTTTGGGTCCTTTGCCTTGAATTACTGCTTTGGGAACCTGGAGCCACATCCGTGTCAATGTTTTTTATCTTCTTTTCACTATGCCTTAATTCTCCAATTTGAAACGTAACAGGTGGGTGCAGGTATGACCTTACAGCACAATCTGGTAGCCTTCCTAATTCCTTGTCTCTAGGGTGAATCCTGTGGTGTTGTCTGGCTAATTAATGCAGAAAAATTACTCCTATGTTACCAGCCACCAGTTCTGTCCCTCCTTCTCATAAAGCTGGAGATTCTTGTCTGCCTTATACCAGAAAAACTGGGGAGACGCCACCTCCAGGAATATCTTGCTCCCTGGGTACTGAAGAGTTATTTTACTCCCTGGGAACTGAGACCTGAAGCCAGAGCAGTGCAAATACAGCTCCAGTGAGACCTATGTCTACAGAGGTTACAGGCAACAAGTAATTCAGAGGTCATTGCTGTCAAGAGCAGTAAACTCCAGCGTTGATTCTTGTGAGGGAATCACTGAGGTTTTTTGGACACAAGAAGTCGAACTGCTTAATTTGTAGTGGGCCCCCGGGCACCCCTGGGGTAGTTGTCTGAGCACCAGGGGAATGTCAGGGACGTTTTTGTTTTAACCACCCTTTCTCCCCCTTCATTAGGCAGCAGAGCCCGCTGGGACTGGAGGAGCCTAAGTACTGGAGTCGTCTGAAGGCACGAGCAGCTGCCATGGACAAGGAGAAACAAAAAGTGAAGGGACAGAAGAAGCAGTAGCCAGCCTTGCATCCTGAGGGGCAGGCTCTGCTCTATCACAGTCCTGTAGATCCCTGATCCAGAACTGATGTTTTGACAGATACTCTATTCAAATCATCACACTCCCAGAGACCTGGAGCATCAGAGCAATATGGTATGTTATTATTATAACAATGACCCTTAATAAAACCTTTTCTTCAGTAAAAATCTCTTGTTCTTCATAGGACTGGCATTTTATCAGACTCTGTTCTGTCTTTGTGTTGCTGAGGCTCACCAGTGAGTCTCATCTTCTGCTCCCACCTAGATGGGCAGCCCGCAGCATCCTTGTGCTTAACAAGAAAGCTGGTCATTTCAAAGCAGGCAGCAAATTGGCCATGAAGGTGTTATCCCCCAGAGCATAGCAGTGCTAAGCAGCAGTGACACAGCAGAGTGTGACAGGCCTGACATAGGCTGTTCTGCAGGCTAGTTGTTTCTTTTGACTTCAAAGCAGGCATTTTGGGGATAAGACTGCTTAGGAATTGCAGCCTGGAAATGTGTGGACAGGATCTCTGGGTTAAGGTCAGGATAAAACTGGTGTTAGAGCCAAGAATGTCACTAAAGAGCAGGACAGAAAGCTGAGGGGTTTGGAGAAGTCAGGGCTGTGCTGAGCCATAGACAGGCCAGGAACATGACCAGTACAATGGTCAAAGGCCATAAAAAGCTGAAGCATCCCTCTTACAGGCAATACAGGACAAAGAACTGGCAGGGACAATACAAGGCCAAGCAGCCATGCATTTGTTTCTGACTCCAGAAGTGTATTAAGTTAATAGCTTGCCCTGTATACTTGACTGATGGGGCAAAAAAGTATGCAGGCTCCCTGGTCAGTCTTTCACTTGTCAATATTTTCAGGTCTGTAGTCCTGTGGGAGACTGGCAGCATCTCAACTGTAGTTGCTCAGTTGGGAGCTTAGAGCCTACCTGCATTTTGCACTGGGTGTCTTTGTTGCTCTTCAGGTGGTCAGGGGCCCTCTGGAACCTGAAGGGCTTTAGATGAGATGACTCAAAACATCCATTCTCGACCATAGCAAACATATGCTTTCTTGAGCATAAACCCCATGAGAAATCCCCAGTCTTTCTCAAACTGATTGTGCTTCCAGGATAACTGCATAACCCACAAGGAATTTGACAAATCTGCCAGGAACCACTCCAATCTGTGTGCATGGGGGAGTTGGTTTTTTTCCAGGTCTCACTCTAGTGCCTCCCACAGAGGTTCAGCAAAGCATCAATGCAGTGTGCCAGGGATTCAGCACAGATGGAGCTGTGTAGATGCTCCCATAGCAAGGTCCCATTTCAGTTTTTCACAGCAAGTTGTCACGTTTTCGGCTGAGTTTTGATGAGAGATTTCATTTCATCCTCTGGAAATGAAGTCAGCCAGTCTTTTGGGGAGGTAGGAAAAGGGAGAAGCATCCCCCTTGTTTCACAGTCTCAGATGCCTGGCTTTGCTCTGGAGAAGGACAAGTTATTTGAATTAAACCTTCCTATTTGCTACCTTTGTGAAGGGCTTTGCTACCTTTGAGGGCTGTAGTAAAACCTTTTGTGCTGTCGTTTTCCATCTGCCACAGATTACAGCTTCACAGCTCATCTGATTGTTACAGATATTGATACTGGGTTGTGTGAGCACTTGCCATCTGCTTCAGTGAGAAGTGAAGCAGGTTAGCTCAAACCAACCTTCAATGCCAGTTTAAACTGAGCCACCTGGTTCAGCACCGAAGTGAACAAGGAAGAGTCCTTGATCCTTTCTTCTGTTCTTGTTGTGGTGGCCATACAACTTAGTTATTTTGTTTCTATGGTACTTCTAGAAACAATGGACCTTCTGGCATAATCAGGCATGGGGGATTACTTGGGGCAGGATTTCCCATTCCCACATTGCTTCCCATGTTGCAGAAAGCCAGCACAACCAATACATGGCCCCTTGAACAGCACTGGGTCTAGTTCTTGCTATTTGTGCAAATGTAAAGGGCTTGGGGATCTTTACCCTGAATCCTACCCCATCTGCTTTCCATCCAGTAGAGAAGCAGGACCTGCCTAATACCAGAAGAGGCAGGACAGGATGTGCCAAACAGTTAGACATCCGCCAGTTTGTGTGTATTCATCTCAAGATGTACTTGTTTGTTTGCAGTTAGAATTTGCTCTAAGACTCTAATCATGTGCTTGGCCAAGATAACCAGGAGCTGGCAGGCTCCACAGAGAAAGGAAAACAACAAGCAGCTGCAGGAGGCTGATGAAGAGCCTTTGTTTTTACTCATGATTTCAGCAGGGGACCATTTGTTTCCTGCTTCTTCGAAGGGATACAGAGAAATTGGCATGATCAGTGTGTTGACATGTGTGTTGGTGATGGAGCTGTGTGCTGAGCTCCACAGCACGTTCTGGAGAGAAACACAGGCACCTGATTGTTTATTTCAAAGACGATGCCCTTGCCAGCTATGCTTTCATTCCTGATCACTCCATGAGCCTTAGGCAGCTGTAGGTCTGTTCCAATTTGAGCTATTCTGCTGCTGGAAACTATAGAAAGGCCTTGAGAGGTATCATATATATATACATATATATATATATAACCATCAAATGATAAAACTGTAAGAGTTCTGGCTTGGCCAACTCCTAGCTCAGTGCCAAGTTCAGTGAACTCAGAGGTACTGCCTGGGTATAATAGGAGCCATTTGGCTCTGTATTTCAAAAAAGTAAAATAAAGTTAAAAATCATTTGATGGATTAAGAAGGCTGTGAGAGGGAGGAAGAGGAGCTCATATCCACAGAGAGGCGCTCGAGCAGCATCGTTCCAGCAGAGCCAGGTTACTGCCCAGCCACACAGAGAGAGTTTCTGTGGGAGAGGAGGCTGTCCTCTAATCTCGCTAAATTATCTGCTGCTCTCTGCAAGAAGCCAAATGTCATCTTACTTCTTTGCATACTTGCTTGTGCTGTGGAAGCAGAGGAAATTAGAGGCTGATCTGATAAGATTCCCCCCACTCCTGAGGGCAAGCTTTGGGCTGTTTGGGTAAGCCACTCTGCTGTTGAAAGGAGTATGGTCCTCTGAGGAGCTGAAGTGCTGTGTGCTCCGGGATCTGCACTCCTTGTTGCCCGTGTTGCCAGTTTTAATGCAACAACCCACATATCCTGTAGTACCTCACCACATACAGCCTCAAGCAATCCTAAGGAGGAATCTGCAAAGACCTCTGTATCCTACCTGGGGTAAATAATGTCCTTGCAAAACACTGTGGGGCATACAGTGGTGCCTAGGGCAAGGAAGTCCCAGCAACTGCTTGCTCTGTTTGCTCTGGAAGTAGCAAGGGAAGGCCAAGCTTCTTCCCCTGCTGTACAAATTTGTGTCTAGATATAGGTGAGCCAGCTACTGTGTCCTATTCCTAATTGCTCAAATAGCTCTCGTTGTCCAAACTTGTGTCACCTCATTACCTCTAATACCAGTTCCCTGTACCAGGGTGCAGTGTCTTGTCTTCCTCTGAATCCAGGCTATTGCTGTCGAGTTGTGCTGTTCAGCAAAGCCATGCAGATTAACTCTTTTAATCTTCCCTAATGCATTGTGGCAGACATCTCACTCTGGTTTAATTTGGGGTTTCTTCCAGTTTGCCTCTCTTTCCGTTCCAGTTTGATGTTGCCCAGCGTTTCTGGTACTGCTCTGTCTAGGACCCAGTACAATATTCATGTGTGGTCTCACATGAGAAGCCAGGTTCTGCTGGCCTTGATATTGGATTTTGCAAGAGCAGGATCATTGGCTGGGATGAGAAATGAGCCATGTTTTCAAGGCCAAGACACAGGATGCAGTTGGCTGAGCCTAGCTCAGGGTGCTAGAGAGATAAGAGATTTGCAGTATGACTAGGGTGATGCTGTGTTTTGGCTTTCACCCCGTGGATTTACAGGCACTTCATGCAGCTGAAGACAGACAGGGCTCTTGCTATGAGGAGCTTACACCCTACGTAAGCCAAGTGCCAGGGCTGGGGTAAGGCACAGCAGACTCGTGCCATAGAGGAGGATTTGTCACAGCAGGAGCCAGGTCTTCACGTGGCACACCTCTGTGCAGTGCCATGTGTTGGCTCGGCCCCAGGAAAGTCCAGGGTTTAAGAGGAGGGGAAGGCAAATGACTCATGTCACCGCAGGGCTGCCGATCAGGCAGGAGGGAAATGTGCAGTGTTTGAGTGGTGAATTGGCTGGGCTGCCAGGTTTGGAACACTTCGACTGCCTCGAGCCCGTCAGACTGAACAGCTCGTTATTTAGAAGCTTTGTGTCAGCTTGAGCCAACAGCAGCTCTTCTGCATGTGAAGGGCTGGATCACTGTCGGGGGAAGAGGGTATAAGTTTGTGTTGTGAGGGACTGTGCACAGGAGAAGGAGATTTTGTAGGGGGAAAATAACAAGTCCTTCGCTGAGCAATGAGGAAGAAGCACTAATTAGGCAAGGAAGAGGAACCTGCCAGGTTGCAATCCTGACCTAACAACCAATTATAGGATAATATAGCACAGGGTAAACACTAAGTGGAGGATGCTTCTGGATTAATTCCTTTTTGAAACACAGTGATGGTTTAAAAATTTTTGGTATCCTAATTTTAAACTGCCCATCACTGATGCCAGCACAGCCTGTGGTAAATTGTCACAGTTGTTAAACTACCTGTGTTTGAATTTAAGCCCTGCTTCTAATCTGAATAGGTCACGTTCCAGCTTCCAGTCACTGGACCTTGCTGGATCTCTGGGAGATGGAAGAGTCCACCAGCAAAACATGTGGGTTTTGTGGAAGGACTTAGAAGCCATATATGTAAGCAAAACAGATGTAGGGAGACTAAACAGACTGCAATGTCCATAGGTGTCCATAGTGTCCTTAGGTCCAGGAGGACATAAGTAGTGGGTCCAGGCGAGATGTGAAGGGAAATCTGTACTGGATGTGGAGGCAGCATGGTGTAGCCTGCCCCGGCCAGGAAGATTCACTAGGATAGGGGCAACTCTTCCTTCTAGCTCAAATTTCCCATAATTCTGAGTTTCTAGAAGTGAAATGGTTTGGGTTCCGGAAGCATTCCCTACACACTCAGCTCTTGGGTCTCTGCTCTCCGTGAGGGCTAAAACACACGCCCTAGTGTGGCACAAGGAAATGGGACGACCATTTCACTGAAATCCTGGAGCAGGGCAGACAGGCAACAGGAGAGAGACCAGGCACAAGATTTGCAATTGC